ATTCGAAGATAGTCAAACGAAAATCCAAAATCGCCCCCGGACTATACCATTTTTGAACGCTTGGGTGACCCAATCGGAGGTCCAGCTGAAAGGGGGTGGTGCAATAGATTTGGGGCAATTGGATTGCAAATGTATTGCGCCGTATATTGTATTGCATTAGATTGCAAATAGTTGATTGCACGAGAGAGTCCAGCCATACATTTGCGTCCCGGAATGTATTGCACGCCGCAAATATACTGCAGCCCCACAGATATATTGCACCAAATCTATTGCACCACCCCTTTGTCGCTGGACCCCCTTCTGGGTCAACCCGAGTTCGGGGTCTGCCACGCATCTGGCTCGTGTAGCTGGTTCCGCGTCCTCTGAACACCAAGAGGCTGGCTTTCGCCGTCGTGGAGCGCGTCTTGATACTCGCGGCCATAATCGGCGATGGACAAACCTCCCCTTAGTGAACCTCCCCTTGGTGAAAACGGCCTGGGCCCGAAATCACCGGACCTGGACCCACAAAAAATGACGGCCGCGACGCCCTCTCGCGAACCGAACGCGGTCAATTCGCTAATCGACGCGTCAGGGTAGGAGGTCGATCCACCTCCGACATAACGTGCGTTATAGGGGTGTCTGGGGGGAGCACTACAAGGGTAACATTCCATATTCCTCTGTACAATCAAAAACCCTAATAAGGACGCGCGGTAAGGACGCAAGACCCTTGGAAGCCGAAGTTGGGACTTTTGGGGCGGCGGGCGACGAAAACCCCCAAGGACGCAGGAGCAAGGAAGAGCAAGGACGCAGGGGTACCCTGAGCAAAGTCGCGCGTCCTTATTAGGGCTTTTGACTGTAGAGGGACAAGCCCGACTTCAAACACATGCGTCGGCCGCCTTCCCCGCAGCACGCGGTGCCGGAAAGAGAGCTCCGGACCGCAAGCTCCGCCGTTTGGCCCGGGGGGCCGCCGCGAGAAGGGGGAAGGGGGGGGGGGGGGGGACGTCCCGGGGCAGCTGCCCTAGAAGAGGAGGAGGAGGAGGAGGAGGAGGAGGAGGGAGGAGGAGGAGGAGGAGGAGGAGGAGGAGGAGGAGGAGGAGGAGGAGGAGGAGGAGGCGGAGGAGGAGGGAGAGGAGGAGGAGGAGGAGGAGGGAGGAGGAGGAGGAGGCGGAGGAGGAGGAGGAGGAGGAGGAGGAGGAGGAGGAGGAGGGAGGAGGGAGGGAGGGAGGAGGAGGAGGCGGAGGAGAAGGAGGAGGAGGAGGAGGGGGGAGGAGGAGGTGGAGGAGGAGGAGGGAGGAGGAGGAGGAGGAGGAGGAGGAGGAGAAGGAGGAGTAGGAGGAGGAGGAGGAGGAGGGCGGAGGAGGCGGAGGAGGAGGAGGGGGAGGAGGGCGGAGGAGGAGGAGGAGGAGGAGGACCAGCGTGAACCCAAGAGTCATCAACGATGTTGGAATGAACCCTCCCTCCAAGCTCCCTCTTCGTAGGCCCCTACAACGGCTCATTTCCATTGAAGGAACTGCCTCGTTGGAACACAACCGTTTGAAGATCCTGAAGCGTGCCAAAACATTGCTCTCGGGATTTCAACGCCACGTATCAACCTGACTGCTGCGTATTGACGATGCGGAATCGTACTAGAACGCCATTTTGGGGACTTCAACACCCCGAATCAACATGACCATTGCGCCCGCATAATCCTGAATCCTTCCAAAACACCATTTCTGGTACGCTGATCATGGGAATCCGTGAAGCTCCTGCAAATATTTAAAGCGAATGTGCGCGGCGCTAGGGCGAGAGACACATGTTGAAAAATAACGCCCTCAATCCATGGAACGCTTGCAAATGTTTAAAACGAACGTGCGCGGCGCTAAGGCGAGAGTCACATGTTGAAAACCACCCGCCCACAACCCGTGAAACTCTTGCAAATGTTCAAAACGAATGTGCGCGGCGCTAAAGCGAGAGCCACGTGTTGAAAAAGAACCGCCCTCAACCCGTGAACATCTTGCAATTGTTTGAGACGAATGCGCGCGGCACTAAAAGCGAGAACCACATTTTGAAAAGGAACCGCCGTCAACCCGTGAAACCCTTGCAAATTTTTAAAGCGAGTGTGCGCGGCGCTAGAAGCGATAACCACATGTTGAAAACCACCGCCCTTCATCCATGAAACTCTTGCAGTTTGTTCAAGCGAATGTGCGCGGTGCTAAGGCGAGAATCACATTTTGAAAACCACCCGCCCTCAATCCGTAAAGCTCTTGCGAATGTTTAAAGCGAGTGTGCGCGGCGCGGAGGCGAGAACCACATTTTGAAAGCGGCCCGCCCGTCATCTGTGAAACTGCTGCCACGTTTTAAGCTTCAAAATCATATACGATGAGGAAGTATAAAGCGAAACGCCCGGCCCGCCCTAAAAACTTGCCTCGGGGTGCGACAGGGAGAAGTTATAGATAAGGAGAAGGAATGCTGGAGGAGGAGGAGGAGGAGTAGGAGGGGGGAGGAGGAGGAGGTGGAGGGAGGAGGATTGGGAAGGAGGAGGAGGAGGAGGAGAATTGGGAGGAGGAGGAGGAGGATGGGGAGGAGGAGGAGGAGGAGGAGGAGGAGGAGGAGGAGGAGGAGAAAGAGAACGAGGAGGAGGAGGAGGAGGAGAAGGAGGAGAAAGAGGAGGGAGGAGGAGGATGAGGAGGAGGACGAGGAGGATGAGGAAGAGGAGGAGGAGGAGGAGGGAGGAGGAGGAAGAGGAGGAGGAGGAGGCGGGAGGATGGAGGAGGAGGGAGGAGGAGGTGGTGCCCCCGCCTCGTGCTCTGTGGGCGCTTCCCCGCAGAGCCAGGAGGGGGCTGTGGGGAGAACGGCCCCCAAGACCTCCAATCCCGGGGGGGGGGGGGGGTGCGGGGGGCTCCCTCGTGGATCTCTGCGGGTGGCTCTCCTCCGCTGCGGGCGGCTCTCCCCAAACCCCGCGCCTCGCCTGGAGGGGGCTCGCCTCAAGCTCGTATCGATCTGCACGGGTTTTGACGTGGGGGCGCTCACGTCTTCCTCCAGATCCCACCAGCCCTCTGGGCGTGGGTGGTCGAGGGCGGTGTCTCTTCCAACTCCCTTCTTCCCCGTCGGGGAGGGGTTTGCTCATCCTCCTACCCCCTCTCCTGGACCTGGAGAGTGGGTTTCGCGAGGCATTGGAGCGTCCAAGATGGCCCAAGGTGGCTACAAGAGGACCTCAGAGAGCCCACGATGACCTCCAAGATGGCTCAAGATATCCTGAGATGGCTCCAGATGGCCCCAAAATGCCCCTAAAGACTCCAAGACCGCTCCAAAGCGGCTCCAAGTGGCCACGGAACCTCTCCAGGAGGCCGACAAGAGGCCAGAATCCTTCAAACACCTTGGGACATTATGAATTTGGCTCCTCGCATTTTTGCCTTCGATGACCTCCCGAGGCCTCAAGGTGGCTCCAAGAGGGCCCATGGGGGCTCCAAGAGAGGCCCAACAGACCCCTAAGACGGCCCCAAGACGCCCCCAAGAGCTTTCCACGAGGGGCCCAAGAGGGGCACAAGAGACGAATGACATGGCTAATTAAGTTCCTCCCCCTTGTTTGATCGATTTCCTCCAAGATGGCTCCGAGAGCGCCCGCAAGGCTTCCAGAAGCGCCCCAAGAGGGCATCCCGATGCGCGAAGGAGGCCCCGAGATGCCCCCGAGAGACCCCCAAGAGACCCCCAAGAGACCCAAAGAGGCTCTCCAAGGCATCCAAGACGTTCTAAGAGGCGCTCGGGACCGCCAAGAGGCTCCCAAGGCGTCTCAATAGGCCCCCAAGCTCGACATTGCCCTCTTCCTCTTCCTCTTCTTTTCCTCCTCCTCCTCCTCCTCCTCCTCATCCGCCTATTCCGCTTCTTCCTTCCTCATTCCTCCTCCCCCCTCCCCTCCTCCTCCTCCTCCTCCTCCTCCTCCTCCTCCTCCTTCTCGCCCTCCTCTACTTTATCCTCCCTCATCCTGCTCCTCCTCCTCCCCTCCTCCTCTCCCTCATCCCCCTCGTCCGTATTCCCCGCCCTTCCTCATTCGGCAAGTCCGCGAAGGCGCATACGGTTCGCTCATGGGTCTGCGCAGGCTGGTCCAAGACTTCAGTTTGACGGCTTCCCCAGCTCTTGATCCACTGCATGCTCCTACGCTCCTACGCTTCCCGGATCAAGGGAACTCGCCTGTGCATCGTTTCTGGATGTGCTGGTGGGGATACTTTTTTTTTGTTGGTCGCGGCCGCGAGACAAAGGTCAGGCGGCAAGAAGCGCGAAGCGTCAAGAATTGCCACAAGAGTTCGGCGGGGGCAAAAAAACAGCCCCGAGTGTGCCCGTCGTCGCCATCACCGTCACCGCCGGCATCCCTTCGCAAGAGTGAAAAGGGGTGGGGTAGATTTAACACGTATTGGATGCGCCGCGGCTGCTGGGTCCCTGTGAGACAGAATGGTAACGGATATTCTCAGGGACTCCACAAACAAGTGGTACAACTCAACGCTGGGCTTCGTGCATGCCTGATTCGGACGAGTGACTGGCTGACTAAATACCTGGCTTGCGCGAAATACCACAACAACAACAACGATAACAACAACAACATCTCAGAGAAGACGGACAACAATCCGTTACGACAGGAATAACGGCGAGGGTGGAGGCGTCGGCAACGACGACGACGGCTGCTACGATGACGGCCACGACGACTGGGACGGCGACGACGACACCGGCAAGAATCAAGAAGCCTGCCGCGACGGCTACCGCCGTGACGGCGACGACCATGGCGACGACAGCAACGACGGCGACGACGACGACGACGACGACGACCGCGACTACGGCGGCGACCGCGACGGCGACGGCGACGACGCGGGCCTTCCCATCAACTGTGGTCTCCCCCCTGTCTGCAGGTACGGAAACATTCCTGGTGGTGCTTCCCTGCTGCGGGCCATGGAGTACAACTGGCAGCTCATTCTGCACCCAGTGCCCTTCCAGCATACGTTCTGCGGAAGACACGAGCGAAAACGTGGATCGGAAGATGTACGCGGCACCCCTCACTTGTTCAGGTACTCGGAGATGGCCCTCCAGCCGATGGTGAACAGGGCACCCTGCAATCCGTTCGTGAGGATGCGAGTCCCCAGCCCACGGCCAAACAGCCCCGCATAGCCCTCCTTATCGATGATCCTCTTTGCGGACTCCATGTAGCTCACGGGCTCCAGCGACGTCTGGCGGGTCGTCTTCAGGACCCGGAGCGAGTTTGAGCACGTGTCCGACACCGCCGCGGAGCTGAAGCCGATCACCGCGTTGCGCACGTACTTGCCGTAGGCGAAGTCGAACGGGGGCAGCGACTCCCGGAGCTGGTTGTTGGTGTAGAACCACGGGTAATGCCCGACCCACGTCGCGGTCATGGCCCCCACGGCGCCCTGCCAGAGGGCCGTCGGGTGCTTCTTGGTCTTCTCGATGAGGCGCTTCAGGCCGTCCGCGCCCTCCACCTGCTTGGTTGTCTTCCAGGCGTCCACGGGCATGAGGAAGATGCGGAAGCCAGCCGCGACCCCGCTCGCGCACATGGTCTTCGCCGCGGTGGGGAGCTGGGTGTGCTCCAGCGCAGCGAGCGCGCCGTCGTTCGCGGCAGTGTCGCCGAACCTGGAGACGGGCGCCTGGATGAGGCCAGGAGCGAGCCCGCGGTAGAAGCGCGGGATGCCGCCGTCGGCGTAGAGCTTCCTCACCACCTCCCCGAGGGAGCCACCGTAGCGGTACTGGTAGTTCATGATTGTGCGCATCCACATGAGGGTCAACACGTTGATGGCCTGCGCGCCCATGCCTGCCAGGCCCCCGCTCAGGGCCTTCTTGGATGCCTTGCTCATGATCTCCGAGAAAGAGGGGGTCGGCTTCTTCGCGACCTCGGACATGACTGGCCCGACACAAAATCCGCCACCGCGATTGCAGCGGTAGGTGTGTGTGTGTGTTGAGTTGAATTGTGTTGTGTTGTGGTGTGGTTTGTGTTGTGTGTTGTGCTGCGTTGTGTTGTTTTGATTTCGGGCGCAGCCCGTAATCTGATTTTCGGGAAGTAGACTGACTGAGTGACTGACTGACTAACTGACTGACAGGATTGACACCTGAATCAGCAAAGCCATTAGATGACAGCTTTATTTCCTGGGGTGAGGATACTTCGCTGGCCGTTTCAAGTCAGGGAGTTGAGGATGTTTTGCTGGCAGTTTGAGGCCAAGGGGGTGAGGATATGTCGCTGGCAGCTTTAAGTCATGGCGGTGAGGATAGGTCGCTGGCAGTGTTAGGCCAGGGGGGGGGGAAGATAGTTCGCTGGCAGTTTCTATAAGCGAGGGCGGTGAGGATATCTCGCTGGCAGTTTTAGCCCAGGGGCGTGAGGATATGTCGCTGACAAGTTTAGGCGAGGGCGTTGAGGATAGTTCACTGGCAGTTTTAAGTCATGGGGTTGATGATATCTCGCTGGCAGATTTATGGCAGGGGCGTGGGGATATTTCGCGGACTGCTTTAAGCGAGGGGTGTTGAGATACTTCGCTGGCAGTGTTAGGCCAGGGTGGTGAGGATTTGTCGCTGGCAGTCTTACTAAGCGAGTGCGGTGAGGATATGTCGCTGGCAAGTGTAGGCCAGGGTCTTGAGGATACTGCGCTGGCATTTTGTAGGCGAGGGCGGCGAGGATACGCCACTGGCAGGTTTAAGTCAGGGGGTTGAGGATATCTCGCTGGCAGATGTATGGCAGGGGCGTGATGAAATTTCGCGGGCAGCTTTAACCAAGGGGTGCTGATATGCTTCGCTGGCAGATCAGATTTAAGTCAGGGCGGTGAGTATAGTTCGCTGGCAGGCTTATGCCAGGATGATGAGGATAGTTCGCTGGCAGTGTTAAGCGAGACGTGTGAGGATATGTCGCTGGCAAACTTAAGCGAGGGCGGTGATATAGTTCACTGACAGGTTTAGGTCAGGGGGGTGAGGATATTTCGTTTGCAGTGTTAAGCCAGGGGCGTGAGGCTAGTTCGCTGGCAGCTTAAAAGCGAGGGGCGTGGTGATACTTCACTGGCAGTTTCAAGCGAGGGCGGTGAGGATACTTCGCTGGCAGTTGCAGCGGTGAGGATATTTCACTGGCACGTGCGAGCGATGGGTTGTGGGGATACTTCGCTGGCACTTTTAAGCGATTCCTGTCGGGATAGTTCGCTGACAGTTTTAGGCCAGGGGCGTGGGGATGTTTCGTTGGCAGTTTTAAGCGAGGGCGGTGGGGATTCTTCGCTGGCAGTTGGAAGCCAGGGGGTTGAGGTTAGGTCACTGGCAGCTTCAAGCCAGGGCGTGTGAGATTATTGCGTTGGCAGTTGTAAGTCAGGGCGGTGAGGATATTTCGCTGGCAGTTTTAAGCCTGCGGGGCCCTGCCCTTCACTGCCCAGCCGAAAGCTCCGCAACTAGCGCGGTGCCGCGCCCGTATCTATATACATATGTGTATATATACAGATAGATACTAGAACCATCGCGCGCGCTTCGCGCGCGTTCAAGTTCTATAGGCTTGATGGGCGAACGCATGGAATATCAGCCTTGTCGTTTCTTGCGTTCAAGGGCTCTCTTGGAGGCCCGGCGCAAGCCTCGGAATCGTATAGAAGGGGAACTGCGGAGACGCACAAATCATTCATTGCCGTTCGGTATTCAACGACTTGGGGCCCTCGAGAACTTCCTGGGTTCTTTTCTGGGGCCTTCATTGCGGTCAATTGTGCAAGAATAGACAAATGGCGACCTTGGAAGAAAACGGAATGGTGGGATGTCAATGTTTCCCAACCCTACTATGGTTGGGTACTCGTTTTGAATAGAGCAGTGTGGTCGCCCAGTCCTCCTCCTCCTCCTCCTCCCCCTCCTCCTCCTCCTCCTCCTCCTCCTCCTCCTCATACCCTCTCCCCTCCTCCTTCTCTCAACTTTCCTGTGTTCCCTTCTCCTCTTCTCTCGTGCCGTCTGCGATCTGCGCAACTGTCACCACGTTCGTGGGCTCCTGGGAGGCCCAGCGGGGTACGCCCCACGCGGACCACCTCGGGACCTCGCCGCCCCCTGGGGGGCTTGCGATCTGCGCAACGGTCGCCACTTTCGTGGGCTCCTGGGAGGCCCAGCGGAGGTACGTCCCACGCGGACCACCGCGGGACCTCGCCGCCCCCTGGGGGGCTTGCGACCTGCGCAACTGTCGCCACTTCGTGGGCTCCTGGGAGGCCCAGCGGAGGTACGTCCCACGCGGACCACCCCGGGTTCTCGCCGCCCCCTGGGGGGCTTGCGATCTGCGCAACTGTCGCCACTTTCGGAGGCTCCTGGGAGGCCCAGCCAACGCGGACCACCGCGGGACCTCGCCGCCCCCTGGGGGATTTGCGATCTGCGCAACTGTCGCCACTTTCGTGGGCTCCTGGGAGGCCCAGCGGAGGTACGTCCCACGCGGACCACCTCGGGACCTCGCCGCCCCCTGGGGGCTTGCGATCTGCGCAACTGTCGCCACGTTCGTGGGCTCCTGGGAGGCCCAGCGGAGGTACGTCCCACGCGGACCACCTCGGGACCTCGCCGCCCCCTGGGGGGCTTGCGATCTGCGCAACGGTCGCCACTTTCGTGGGCTCCTGGAGGCCCAGCAGAGGTACGTCCCACGCGGACCACCGCGGGACCTCGCCGCCCCCTGGAGGGCTTGCGATCTGCGCAACTGTCACCACTTTCGTGGGTTCCTGGGAGGCCCAGCGGAGGTACGTCCCACGCGGACCACCCCGGGTTCTCGCCGCCCCCTGGGGGGCTTGCGATCTGCGCAACTGTCGCCACTTTCGGAGGGTTCCTGGGAGGCCCAGCAGAGGTACGTCCCACGCGGACCACCTCGAGACCTCGCCGCCCCCTGAGGGTCTTGCGATCTGCGCAACTGTCGCCACTTTCGTGGGCTCCTGGGAGGCCCAGCGGGGGTACGTCCCACGCGGACCACCGCGGAACCTCGCCGCCCCCTGGGGGGCTTGCGATCTGTGCAACTGTCGCCACTTTGGTGGGTTCCTGGGAGGCCCAGCGGAGGTACGTCCCACGCGGACCACCTCGGGACCCCGCCGCCCCCTAGGGGCTTGCGATCTGCGCAACTTTCGCCACGTTCGTGGGCTCCTGGGAGGCCCAGCGGAGGTACGTCCCACGCGGACCACCGCGGGACCTCGCCGCCCCCTGGGGGGCTTTGCGATCTGCGCAACTGTCGCCACTTTCGTGGGCTCCTGGGAGGCCCAGCGGAGGTACGTCCCACGCGGATCATTCCATGTTGTATCGTTGCAGTTCCTCTTCTTGCTGCTCTCTTCTGAAATCACTGTTGGGTGCTCTTCTTGCGCACTGCGGGTCCTTCAGAATGCCAGTCAACACTGAGTGGTCCTGAGTATAATCGCCACATGTATAGAAAAGGGTTGGGTACGTCACAGGGTAGTTTCAAGTTGTAGAGCCTGGGCTGTGGGTTAGACGTTTTCTGGATGCATGCCACGGTCTGTTGGGATGCCTCTCGGGGGCTTCGTGCAAAAATAGACAGGGGGGAATTTGGAAAAAACGAATTCTAAAATTCCACTGATCCAACTCATGGGATCATGGGGTCTCGATTTCTACAATGGTGTCAGGGGCAGCCAAGAGGACACGACGACGATCCAAGAGAGTGCTAAGACAGCACCAGAGAGTTCAACCTAATTCCCGAACCAGTTTTGCATGTGACCCCGAAGTTTTGATGGGGCTCGAGGAAGGGGATAGGGAGAAAGAGTCCCAACTTGAAAAAATGAGTCGCTGGAATTTCCTTTTTTTTCTCAAACAGTCCTCGGTATTGGAGCGTTGGAAGCGAGAAAACGTGAGAAGGCGAAAAGCGTCGACAAACACCATTGGAAAACCAACAATGTTACCCTCTTCGGGCTATCTCGGGACGGCTCTCGAAGCTCTCTTGGACTGTATTGGGGGCCTCGTCGGGGATGTACTGAGATCCTCTCAGGAGTCTGGGGTGATTTTTTTCCCCGTCAGCCAGCAAGACCGCCCCCTGAAGTTTGTTCATGATCGGGTGTGCTCGCACCCGTCCTTTCGCGGCCTCGCTCTGAGGCAGCACCCAAAAATGACGGGCCACTGGTCCAGCGGCCTTGCGAGCGGACCTGGCGGGCCCCGCCAGGGGAGGCTGGCGCCCCACCAGGAGCCACGAACACTCTCGAGGAGAGGGGAGAGGAGGAGGAAAACCACACAGCAACTTGCTTCCGCTAGGCACAAGCGAGGGCACGATGCCGCCTCGAAGTGACGCGGAGTCGAGCCTCAAAGTGTTGCTCGGCAGTGCCAGGGATGCCCAGCCCACGACAATTGTGAAGAGCAACAAGCGCATCAACACAGGCAGCGAAGAGAACATTTGACGACATTGGTGATGGAGCAAGCAGGAGGAAGGGGAGGAGCCAGGGCGAGCCCTCAGGAAACCACGAAGACGAAATAAACAGCGGACCAAGCCAATATCTGAAAATGGAAGCAAGCCGAAGACAACATACATAATGCCCAGCAGGATCAAGATCATCCTCCCCAAGAGCTGGGCATCCCAGAGCACAACCTGCGGGACGAGATTCATATCTCTTTGACGTGCAGAGGCCACGACAGAGAATACGCATGGTTGCCACTAACATGTACGGTTGAGTTTTCATCAGAACATAGTAAGAGTTGCTATATAAACGATCCAAATGCTTCAGAGATGTATATGGACACCATGCTTCAACCCGACGGAAAAGCGTACGGCGAGGATCCTCCTTCGCAAGCGACCTATCAATCATCATCTCAAACAGACGAGCCTGCAGGCGAGGAAGATCAGTGGATAGCTGAGAAGGGATACTATAATACCAAGAATGCAGCTCAAACGTGTAATACAGAAAACTATTCTCCCAATAGCCAGTCTCCATACGAA